CCCCCCCATACAAAGCAGAGAGAAGTAAATACTCAACTCCAAAGGTCAGCGGAGTGGGGAGAATATTTCTTTTTTTTAAGCCTCTTTATATTTTACATTGTACAGCATAAAATGCCTGCTTTACATTTTTAAATATTTAAAATGATTAGCCATTTACTGTTTACCAGTTAATATTTTTTTAGTTTGAAGGACTTTAGAAGATGATTGGCAGCCTCAACTTGGATTTTTAGTATTTCACCACAATGCTCCAATCGGATATCTCAGCCAGTTTCTTCTTTATTAGACAATTTTGTGGTAACAGACTTTGGGAGGGAAACAAATGTATTATTCTTATTCATGTCAGCGAGAAAAGTAAGTAGTAGAGTGATTTTCCTTTTTCATATACATAGGCTAGAGAGTAATTACCAACTAACATTTACTGAGCCACCAAATATATGCTTAGAATTGCCCAGGCAGAGAAGGGAACTCATGAAAGCAAATGGCTCGAGCTGATAAGGATTGCTAAAACCTAACCTGCCAACTCTACTGTAGCTGAACTAAGTATGGCATTTTAAAGCAAGGAGCCATTTCCAATGAGACCTCGTGCTCTATGATTTTCTCATGCAAAATTTTCTTTAGCAGTGTAAATGCATGTTTAAAACTAAGAATAAAAACTATGGAAGAGCGCAAGATAACTATTGCACAAGACAATTTACAACTAATACATAGAGATAGTCATACACATATAGATACATCCATTTTCTTCAAGCAAGTTTCACCTTCTTTACAGTTGATTTATAAACACTGCCCTCATACGAAAACCAACAACAAAAAAACAACACTGCCCTCATGTATCCATGAGCCATATCCATGCCCCCTTGGTCAACTCTCCACTGCAGGGTACAACCCCAACCCTCCCCCCGAGTCCTAAAACACCACATCACAATCTCATAGGATGACATCAAGCGCTGGAGTCTGAGGCACTGTTTCTAAGTTCTTTTGATGGTACACTGAACAACCTAGGAACCTTCAGAATATTTAAAAAGTTCACATAGCAGGTATGTGACCTTGGGCAAGTTACTTGTCCCCGTGTCTCACTTTTCTCATCTGTAAAGCATGGCTCTAACAGTTCCTGCCCTCACAGGGCTGCGGTGAAGAATAAGAACATGTAAAATATTCAGAATAGGCCTACCATCATGGGAAGTACTAAATAAGTCCTTAGTCGTGATCTCTCTGAAATACTTCTCCATAACTTGTGAATTACACGCCTCTCTTACCCAGAGATCCTACTCCGTACACTCGAGCTGGCTTGAGTTCCCTCTCTGCTCGGGCATATTTGGCTGCTGCTACCATTTTCATAGACTTGGTAATTTTCTGGATGTTTTTGATTGACTTTAGTCGCCTGGTAACTGAAAAATAGAAGTGCTGTGTTAAGATGAAAGAGTTATAATTTCATTTGTGAATTTACCCCAATACTTTTCTAAATTGCTAGGTAGAATAATTAGCACTAGGTAGAATAATTAGCATTTAGACCATCACTTAAGTGCATGATGCTAAACTAGGCTTAATGTTTGAATAAGTACTAACTAATACAAGGTCAAACCTAGCTGCTACTTAGCCCAGACAATCAAAATGACAACATAAGAGAACAGTAAATTATACATTTAAAACATTAAAAGGTATTGAAAATGGCCTTTAACCATATATTCCATAACATTTTATACAAATAGTGTAGTTTGTCTTACTTATATCATTATCATTTTACAGATAATAGAATCAACGTGTGTCACTTCCCACTTATCTTTTCTAAAATAAGTTCAGTGTCCCACATATGATATAGATTCATTTGATCAGTTTTGACCACATATATAATGAGCTAAAGCAGCACATTTTTGAAAGTATTTTTATTTGTCAAAATTTAGTTTTTCTTATTTCACATATTGAGATAAGGTACTTACTATCTTTCAAAGTTGCCATATTTCGAATTTGGATCCTGAGAATAAAAGTTTTAAAAACATTTTAATGTTTTTGAAAAATAGCTCCATTATACAAGAAAAACTTTTAAAGTTAATGTTTATTTAAAGAATACTCCATAAGAATCACTCAAATATAGACCTCTGAATATGTACATCCTGGGGGTGCCAAAAAAAAAAAGGTACACATTTTAAGAGACGTTATCTACGTATTACTTTTCCAAGTTGAATTACGGTAGCAATGTGTAGTATGATGTTCACTCAAAAGATGGCGTTAATCAAATGAATGCTAGCACCATTCATTGCATTACAATTTTAATACAGTTTTTTCCTTCCTTTAAATTCGTATACATTTTTTTGGCACCCTCTGTATTTTCAAATTCCTTAATACTGATACCACATTGTATGTCAAAGGCCTTATTTTACTTACCCAACTAACACAAACCATTCACTGAACTCGCCATGGCATTCACACATGTTCTATTCTCACCTCCATATCTTTGCCTGTATTGTTTCCCCAACAGAAAGTCCTTTCCCTTTGTAGGCTATGCAAATATCAAGGTCAACAAGCTTTCCTTGATTTCCTCAGTTCACCAAAACCTTTTCAAATAACACTTATGCATTCTAACATGTGTGGAAGCACTGTTTATTTAAACCAACTCTTAATTCTTCCAACTCAACTCAATCACCAGTCCAAGCAGCCACTGTCTTCCAGGACATGGTCTCTAAATCACAGGAAGCATACTATTATCTCAGAAACAAGATTCATGAAAACTTAGATTGACATAAAATTTAATTATTCTCCTATAGTCTTTAAAATTAAAGTGCCAATATATAAAAGTCAAAATGATTTGATTAAATGCAATGCTAATAGAAGATAAACATGATGGGAAGACAACATGTTATCAAATATGAATTATCTTTCAGCCCTTAACTCCACACAAAGTACCTGTGTTGCCTGGGAGAGCTGAAGAATCAGTAAATCTGCGCATAAAGAAGGAGGGCTTAAGGAGGGCATTCCCAGGAACAGGATATAGTTTTGAAGCTGGAGACAAAGGATGGGTTAGGAAGTTCAAATATTATTTGATAGGTAGTAGGGAAATGATAAATGTTCAAGCCCACAAATCAGTTTAGTTTTTCAGTGAAGTATCTTGGACGGCAGTGAAAAGCACAAAATGACATTGAAATCCTGATGCCATGGGGACTAAATGAGGGGCTGCTGCAGCTTCCAGACAAGAGAAGAATCTGGACTGGGGTGCTGGCAAAGCAACAAAAGACTAGATTTGAGAGCAAGTTCTTAAGAGTGAAAAGGAAAACAGTAAGAATGACCCAAAGTTTTCTAATTCAATGATCTGAGTGGACAGTGTTAACATTAACCAAGACAGATAAACTGGATGGGGGGATCTCCCTGGAGATAATGAATTTTCAATATGATACAGTTAAACAGACCATGCGACCAGGTGGAAATGTCCAACAGTTCTGAGAAACATGTGTTTCTGAGATTTGAGATACAGATTTGTAGCTCTCAGTAAACATGGTAGTTGATGCCCCAACCTCCCCCGCCCCAAAAAAAGAAGAAGAAAAAAAAGGAAATAGATTAGAAGCAGAGGGAACATTCCTACTTCTATGAGGCCAGCATTAGCTTAATACCAAAGCTACATAAATATAGTATAAGAAATGTCAATTAGAGAACAATATCTCATAAACATAGATGTAAAAACCCTCAACAAAATATTTGCAAACTGATTCCAACAATGTATTAAGAGGAATCACACACCACGATCAAGTGGGATTTATTCCAGGTATGTAAGGCTGGTTCATCATTCAAAAATCAAATACTATCCATTACATCAACAGGTTAAAGAAGAAAAATCACATGATCAATAGATGCAGGAAAAAATACTTGACGAAATCTAACACCCTTTCATGATAAACACCTCTTAGCAAATTAAGAATAGAGGAGAACGTCTTCAACACAATCAAGAACATCTACCCAAAAAAACGCCGTATGGTTTCATGGTAAGAAACTAGAAGCTTTCCCCCTAAGATTGTGAACAAGGCAAGGATGTCCTCTCTCACCACTCCTATTTAGCATCATATTGGATGTCCTAGAAAATGCAATAAGATAAGAAAAAGAAATAAAAGGTATAGTACAAACTGGGAGAGACAAGATAAAGCTGTCTTTGTTCATAGATGATATGACTGTCTATGTAGAAAATACCCAAGAATCAGCAAAAACCCCACAAAACTCCTGGAACTAATAACCAACTATGGTAAGGTTGCAGGATACAAGGTTAACATACAACAAATGTCAATTGCTTCCTTTTATACCAGCTATGAACAACTTGAATATCAAGTTAAAAAAACTGTACATAGATTGTACACTTAAAAATGGTTATGATGGTAGATTACATATATATTTTACCACAATAAAAAAAACACAGAAAAGACTTACGTATAAATCTAACAAAAAAGGTATAAGATCTATATGAGGAAGACTACAAAACCGATGAAAGAAATTAAAAATCTAAATCAACAGAGAGAGATTCTATATTCATGGGTAGGAAGATTCAATGTTGCTAAGATGGCAATTCTCCCCAACTTGATCTAAAGACTCAAACAATACCAATAAAAAATTTCAGCAAGTTACTTTGTAGTTATCAATAAACTGATTTTATCAATAAACTAACATTTATGTGGAAAGGCAAAACACCCAGAATAGCCAACACAACAGTGAAGAAGAATAAAGCCAGAGAACTGACACTACCTGATTTCAAGACTTTACTATAAAGTTATAGTAATCAAGATAGTGTTTTATTGGTAAAAGAATGAACAAGTGGATCAATGGGTCAGAATAGAGCCCAGAACTAGACTCACACATATACAGTCAACTGAAGTTTGACAAAGTAGCAAAGGTAATTAAATGGAGAAGGGATCCTATTTTCTACAAATGGTGCTGGACTACTGGACATCCATATGCAAAAATATTAATCCAGACAATAACCCTACACATTTCACAAAAATTAACTCAAAATGGATCACAGAGCT